GAAATTTCGCTTCCGAGGTTGGAAATTCCTCTGAAAATTCTGATCACTGCGAGAAGTTTGAGAACTTGAAAGGGTATCTGAAAAATGTGTCAACTCAGGATCAATCATACATTGAAAAGGTTTCTGATACTGATGTGACTGTGAACCAGATGCCAAGCTAAGAATATCAGCTTCTTCAAGCTTTTTACAAAGTGTACTCAAGGTAGAAACACTATCAATATCACTAAGTGCAAGTCTTTTAAGGTATTCACCCTGTAGTCCCATTTTAATATATTTGACTTTAGTGAGCTCTGCGGCTCCACGACTGAGTCTACTGAATAAAGTTTCCATACAAGCTATGAAAATTACTACAGGTTCATTTCTTCCTTGTTTTCGTGATTTTATTTGGTTCCACACTTCATCATCAAAGTCTGACATCAAAAAATCCTTTTTCAATTTTATAACCAAAGTTTCCCAACTATTAACTTGTGTTCTGATTTGTCTGAACCAAAATGTAGCCTTACCACTGAATAAGTCACTAGCAGATTCGAAAAGTTCAGCTTTACTAACATGCCTTGCCTGAGCTACTTCTTCTATGCGTTCAATAAATGAAAGGAGATTTTTTGGTTCACCATCAAATTGAATATTCAATTTATAGACAGGAACTGACTTATGAGAATTCACAATTGTATTACTAAAGGTGTTAGCAGTAGTAGAAGCACTAGCTTGTGGTGTTAAAATAGTGACATTAACATCATCATCCTGAACATTCTCATTTAATTCAGCATCAAATTGCAGGGCTGTAGCATAAGCTTCATTCTTGAAATTCAATACGTCCCTATAATTTAAATCTTCCCGCTGTAACTAAATTCTGTTTATGCGAAAACTGATATGATTTATTCTAGAGGTTCCTCTTTTGTGAACAGAATCTGATGAAGGACCTTCAAAACCTTCAATAAGTGATTTAATAGAATCTAAAGTGGACTGAATTTCTACTCGCTCTGTATCAAAGTTATAAGCTTCATCAACTAAAGTCATTACATTCGTACCACTTTGTTTTTCTTTAAACAGAAGTCTTCCAAGAATTTTACGTTTTTCATCTTGATTCCGTTCAGAAATTACACCTCGAATTCTCAACTCATAATTCAGTTCAGCCTGCAGCAAGTGATTAGCTTTAAAATTTTGATCCATTTTGAATCAGTTCAAAATCAAATATCAAAACTGTTGTTCCAACTTCTAAGGAAATAATTTAAATGTGGCAACACTGTACGTGGTATTGTCTGAAGCACTGTCTGCATCAGCTAATTTAATCAAATCTTAAATCACAAAGCTGGATTCTCAAATATTATGAAACCTGATATGTGTATACTCACCATTCAGTTCATAAAAACCCATAAATTTTTCACCTACCAAAACAAAATGTGGTAAAAACAACTCCTGGCTCTCCGTCAAGCTATCAGCTGTCTCCAAACCATAAATATTTTATTCATTCATCAACAAGACACTCACAACTGTTGATTACTAATAACCTAACTAAAAACTCGGGCCCCCACGTTCGGACGTCATCTTTGCAGCCCTACTTTTATGAAAAATAGGTGCATTTGCGAACGGCAGCTCTTCGTCAGTAGGCACTATGGGTTCGAGTTATCAAAATGAGTTAAAATAGCAAAATTTCAGTTATCTAGCAATCATAAGGTTAAACAAAAAAGATGGGGCGCCACTGCAACTTTTAATTCAAAAGAAAAGTTACCTGGAAAGTTGAGCAACCAGATAATGAATAATATTAGTTGTTATCCCAGACTGAAAGACCTGAATTTACCTTATAGAGATGTTGTGAGTTGGAGTGTCATGTCAATAAACAAATGAAACAGTCATATACAATACCCAAAACATTTAATTATGATGATAGGACTCATATATTATATCACAGGTTTTGACAAATATGCATATCAAAAATATTAGATACTCATTTCCTGTTAGGAAAATATACTGTTGCCTGCTATTATGTGGATGAAAATATGTATAAACCAACCTTATATTGTACTTGAAAAATCAAGAGCTCCTGTAAGGACGTTTTATATTCATAGCAGATTTCAAAAAAATATTAAATGTGGAGGAATTCTACCAGCGCATAGTATACTATGTGGAGGGGAAGTACATACCTTTCATGTGTGATTTCATCAATTTATGACCTGGCTATGATTTAAAAATGGTCCATTATACACACTAGCAATGGGCATTATGAGTGAATGAAAATGAAAAATAAAAATATATTTTTATGTCAAAAACCTGTATGGTGTGTCCTACACCAGTTATCCAGAGTAGCAATAAATGGCTTCAGTGCTACCAAATGAAGCTTCTGAGGGCAAGATTGGCAAAGAGCGGGGTGCTGACTTCACATCCCTGGATGTCAGATGAGCTTGACAGAGTTGTCGTATTTCCACCTTGAAAATCCATCATCAGGAACAAACAGGGGACGATATCCAGATTCAAGATTCCAGACTACTATATAGCCACCAAAGGCCTTGTAGAATTAACAGATCCTGGTCGAGCAATGACTCCTGGGAAGAATAGTGCTCCTGGTAGGATAACTCCCGTTGTAGAACTCCCGGTAGAAAACTCCCGGTGAAAAAACCCTTAAATATTTCATGAAAATGAGGTTCTGAATTTCTGGACTGGCAGAGAGAAAAGACGTAATAATGCGAGACTCACCTTCTATGAAGGGTTAGGGATTGAAATGACGATGAAGGTAGGCACGTGACTGCCTGGGTGATGAACCATGAAGATCCTGCCTCTTAAACCAAAACCAGAAGAATCTGTAGAGTCCAGCAGTCCTTATAGATCAGCAACAAATCCAGGATATCCTGATGTGATCCAGAACGCCAGGCGGTACAGGACTTCAGAAGCCGGTTCACACCACAAAAATGGCACTTGACCACCACGAAGAATTTTCTGAAGTGAGCTCTTGTCTCACGACCAGAAAGGAAATCCCTTCTCCAAATTTCCAGAAACCTCGAGAACAACTTAACAGTTTCTGCTTTTCAAATTGGCGGAAAATTTGAATATCCAAAATAAAAGACGTTATCGCTACTCCCTCCAGAGACTTGATTCTTCCCAGATGTCTATCTGAACCAATCAGAATTGATGACCAAAATGACGTCACACCTTTCTTCACAAATACTCGTCTTGTTGGTTCGACGATGATGATCTAAGGACATATCAATCCGAATCGGCGTTTGGCGCATGACAAGTTTGACACTGTTGACATGGTGTCATGACCGACAGCTAATTGACGTAAAGCGAAATAACAGATCAACAAGATCAAAACATCAACCTGAATTTATCAAATGCATCAATCAAGAAAATAATGCCAAACGAAGTTAATTGATTCACCATGGTCGATTCCTAGTGAAACCATCCGCATCAGCGTTCCTGGAAAATCCAATACCTATCGTCCTACTGTGATGAAGTTTCAAGTGGAAAAAGTAGTGTGACAAGTGAGTATGAGAATGTCTCTGAATTGGTATTTCATATTACTTTATATTATTTATCTCTTTCAGATAAGTTCCTGTAAAAACCGTCCGAATCATCCTTCTACTTGGATCACAACAAAGCAGATATAGCAAGAGATATCAACGTATTTATAGAAATTGTATTTTTATTTTATGTACAGTGTGAAATCTCAGGTGTGTATCCACATATCAGGTTTGAGAATAATTAAATAATATGAAGCAGATTGAGTTCAATTTATGTTATTGAAAAATGTTAACCATGTTATTGTGACAAAATATCCTGTCAGATGTGCTCAGCATTACAGAATATTATAGAATCAGACAAAATATACAGTAATGAAAATTTACATGCTACAGCACATTAGGAAAAAGCAAAACAAAATTGAGTGAAAATAGTACATCAGAATAATACCCCGCATGAAAGTTGTCAAAGTCAAGAAAAATGGCAAAATTTTCAAAATTACATGGAAAATCGAATTTTCATTCTTGAAAGACAATGGTCTTAACCAACCTATATAAACTAACTACTGGTCAAGAGGAAAATCCAGCTTTAGAACCAGCACCAACAGATCCGTTAGATGCCAGAGAGTATGCATCAAAGTGTGAAGATTGGAGATATCGACATTCCTTGGCACGAGCGTTTATTCTGTTCAACGTCGATTCGGATATTGTGAACCAAATAACGTGTTATACCCAAGCAAGTCAAATGTGGAAAGCTCTGAATGACATCTGTGATAAGAAATGTGAATACTCCTTGCATGCTTCAGTGAAATCTTTTGTTGGAATCAAATGTAACACAAAATTTGATATACCAATTTATATATCACGACTTGTCGAAAGAACAGCAGAAAACTTCCAATGGAAATGATGAGAATAGTTTGGAAGCCGCATTTCGTCCACTATAGTTAGTTACACCAAAGCAAAAGGATCACTGTTTTTGACCACACTGCCAGAGGAACTTGACAATATAGTGGATAATTTGAAAACTGAAGAGAATCTCACATATGATGATGTTTGTTCTCGTCTCATGGAATTGTCTTCGGCCTCAATTGCAGTTGAAGAAAATGAAGCATTCTTGAGCAATATGAAGGAGAGAAAACCAAAATGACAGACTCTGGAATGTTATTTTTGCAAAGAGAACAAAAAGTGGTTTAAGCCAGCAATAGACTACGGGTAAAAACGACAGTTTTAACCGAACGTTCCAAACTGTACGTGCAAAACGGATAGTGTATGCCTGAGAACGGACAGTCTTACCCGACGAGTAAAAAGATTGCCACTGCTTGAAATTTTACCCGAACCGTTTTGCAGGTTTCGACAAGTCCGTAGTGTATGTTAATGAGACGGTTTTGCGTGTCAGTTGGTTACAGTGGTGTCGAAATGGATTTACGTCAAATGAATAAAGAGTTTTTAATGGAATTCATAGAACTTTATAGAAGCCATCCGTGTTTATGGCAAATTAAATCAAGCGAATATAGTGACCGCGTCAAAAAAAATAAAGCCTATGAAGAAATGGTCGTAAAACTGCAAGAAGTCGAGCCATCTGCAACTAAAAAAACGGTGGTGAAGAAATTAGATTCTATGCGTGGATGTTTCCGTAAAGAAGCGAAAAAAGTGAAAGCATCGAAGACTACAGGAACAGGTGCTGATGATGTCTATGTACCTCATTTATGGTACTACGAACACCTCCTCTTTTTAAGCGATCAAGAAATAGCTAGGGACAGTATTTCAAACATGACTGAATCTACTGAGAAGATGCAGATGAGTACTTCAAGGCAATCGCAGGTGAGTGTACCTACAGGGTGATTCAAATTTGAGCATAAACATGGGGGTTGTTTGGGGTGATCCCTATGCTCAAATTGTAATGAGTATATTAAAAAAAGTCGATAATGTAATAATATATATTTTTACATTCATTGTTAATACAGGAAGTGCATTAATGGGATTTGTTTCTCTATTTGTTAATCACACGAATCGATGTTGCCAGGAAACAGAACCTTCGTTATTGAAGTATTTGACATATTCTTCACGAACACGTTTTGCATCCTGCGAAGCATTTCTCGAGCGTCCAATATTAAAATCTGTCAAAGTATTAGGTGGGGGTCGTAGACCTACTTCGAGATCTCCTGTCTGTGTATGTTCAATATCAAAACATGGTGATGGGGAATAAGTACTTGCGCAGTGTCGCCTTAAAAAATTGTGAAGCACACAACAAGCCATTACAACTTTTTCAGTATTTTCCAAGTTCAAAGGTATGGCTACATGAAACACTCTAAACCGTGCTGCCATTATTCCGAATACATTTTCTATAATTCGGCGAGCTCGAGATAGTCGGTAATTGAAAATTCTTGTATGTGGGGTTAACGTCTTTTGACTATACGGTTTTAAAAAATCTTTTCTTAGGCTGAAAGCTTCATCTCCAATGAATACAAATGGGAATGGAGTTGTCCCACGTATTGGAATCGTAGAGGGCGGCAGATGAAGTGTACCATTTCTGAGTTTCTCATAAAATAATGTATTTTCGATTACTCCTCCATCCGATACTCTACCATTTACACCAAAGTTCACCATGATCAACTCATAATCTGCATTTGCTATGGCTAACAGCACTAGACTATTAAATCCTTTATAATTCCAAAAGTACGACCCACTATTGTAGGGGGCTGTGATTTGTACATGTTTTCCATCAACGGCTCCTAAGCAATTTGGGAAATTCCATTTCTCTTCAAATTTGTTTGCAATAGCTTTCCACTCCTCCTGCGTTTTTGGAAACTGCAACAAACACCCAATTATGCGATATACAGTGAGTGATATAACAAATAAGACCTTAGGTCTTGGTTTTGTTGAAACACGTGTCACACTATCCTGAATTTGGCTACATCATTATTGAATTCTCTGTTATTGAGAATGAATATTTGTTAGAAACCAACTATCAGAAGTTGCCCTTAATCTGAATCTATCAATACCTTCTACAATATAGGACTGTTTTTAACATTCTGCAAACATATAGCTATAGCGTATTGTCTTTTTCCAGGTTGATTCAGATATTGATGCAGACTCATCACATGACTCAACTCCTGCTGATACGGCAATTGAAGAAGTTGGGGACCATACAAGACCTCTTCCAAGAACTTCATTTGCCCGTCGAGGAGCTGTACCGGTAACGATTCCTAATACGAAGAAAGTGAAAAAGACAAAACATGATGACATCATGAAACAACTGGAAGTTGAACTGAATAAACCTGAAGACGACGATGACATTATAGGACGAAACATTGCAAATAAACTTCGGAGGCTGCCTGCTGAAATCAAAATCGTTACCGAAAAACTAATAATGGACGTGTTATATGAAGCTTTCTTGGGAAATATAAATAAATTTACAAGAATAACTTTCAATAACCACAATGCTGCTGTTCTTGAAAATCGATCATCAGGGAGCTCATCCTTGGGAACCTATGGTACCCACTTCCCACCGGTCGTTCCTCAGGACTCTAGCGATTGGCCAGTAATGACTTCTGATACTGATTCACGCACATACTATGTAAACTTTGGCTCCCGTGTCCATAACAATGAGTATTAATTAAATTGTTTCCATGTTTCTGAATGCAGTATATATGTTCATTTGTTCTATCTTATTAAAACTATTCGAACTTATCTAATATAATTTTAATTTGTTTTTTTACCTTGAGATACTCTGCTTTCAACACTGTATAAATTGCCATACAGGTTTCTGGTATAATGTGACCCAATGCTTGCGCCGATATAATTGAAGAGAATTTCAGGTCTTCGTAGCTTCTTCCCGTTGCAATGTAACGTAATGCAACAGTGAGTCGTTCATGTGGAGTTATTGCTTTTCTCAAATGAGTATCCTGTTTAATAATCAGTGGTGTTACTAACTTCAACAGATAAAGATACGTTTCCTCGTCCATTCTCAGATAATTGAACCAATCTTCCGGCTCCAATCTTAATTCGTTCAATAAATTTGTATGGGACAATTCATTTCTTCTCAACAACCATTCTTTGCACCACGTTTTACGAATTTTTCTCTTTTTGGCAGTGGCAAGTGCCGCCAATGCTAAAATGCGCACCCTTCTTTTCATCTTCAACACAACTTTCGTTCACATGCTCGGAACACCAACTAGCACTTTTCACATGTAGTGTATGTGCTCCATCGTTGTACGTATTTACCCGTACATTCTTACCTGAACGGGTAAAACTGCCGAACAAGAACGAAGTCTATGGAGGCCTTTAAAGGTCATTCCAGTCAAAACTGTTGGCACAAGAAGAAAACAGAAAACACCAATCAAGTTTGTGATTCTGATGATGAAAATGTGGCATATCCGGCCTCAAAATGATAAGATATGACATTTAGAAATATTTAAATGTAAATGATTTCTCGTGCACCAATTGAAGACTATGTCGATTTCATTCTGTAAGATTTGACAATCTTAATATTCTTCAATAACTTTGAACAGCTTCAAGTCATCGGCGTAAAGAAGTTTTGAGCAATTGATCTTTTTAGCTAAATCATCAATAAAGAAAAGGAATAATAAAGGTCCTAAGTTAGAACCTTGTGGAACTCCCGAGCTAGGGGTGTATAGGGGTGACTGATAATTTTCATATTCGACATATTGCTTCCTGTCGAAGGGATAACTAGTAAACAATTCGATTAAACTTTCAGAAAAGCCCACTGATGATAGTCGATTGATGAGAATGTAAAAATCAATTTGGTCGAATGCTTTTTGCATGTCCGTATAAACGACGTCAACTTGTTGTCTCTTATCCAGTGCTTTGGACACACTTTGCGACAGGCATGCGAGGTTGGTCATACACGATTTCTTCTCTACGATAATAAAAATGGAACGTCAGACACGCAAAACAGATAAAATTCTCAAAAAGTCTAAGTCCTTGGATGATTTCTTCAAATCTTTTGGCATAGTGGTTGAGAATTCTATCCCAAGGGTTCACGAAACAAATGGCTTAGCAGAACGTTTAAATAGAACATTGGTATCCATGTCCAGAACAAGTTTAATCGATTCTCAACTCCCACAGTCTCTTTGGGCAGAAGCTATATCTCATGCAACTTATGTGAAGAATTGATTAGCTCATGCATTTCATCAAAGAATTTCATACGAAATGTTTTTTGGCAAAAAACCTGAAATCCCTCATTTGAAATGTTTTGGTCAAAAAGCATATGTTCACATAAATGCAGAAGAACGACATCCATGGATGGTGCAATGGTGGCTTATTGTCCTAAAAATGGTTGGTATCGTTTCTGGACTGGCAAGACAGTTCTTGTTTCGAGGGACTATAGATTTTCGACTGAAAATGATGATGGTGTAGTTTTCCTTCATCCATTTGAAAGAAAAAATCAAGAAAAAAGTAACGGAGAATCGGAAACATTGACAGGATCATCAGAAGCTAAAGATGTTCAAGAACAAATCAGTGAAGTAATTGAATTCTCAGATGTAAAATCAGGATCTGGAGATGAAAACACATCTGCTACTGATTTAACAGTTCGGAGAAGTCAAAGGAATCGCCATACTCCAAAATTTTACGAAGATTTTTGCAAGATAGCTCTAGATGAACCTTCAATATATTCTGAAGCAGTCTTGAGCCCTGATTCAGAAAAATGGATTGAAGCAATAAAGGATGAATTATAGACTATGATGAAACATTCTCTTTAGTGGTCCGATACGATGTCAGGAATGTACCATTCTGGCAACATTGTTAATGAGTAGTTGTTATGGTTATGTTCTGTGGTTTTGTTTTGTTTCCAAGTGTCCCGTGTCACCTATATATATATTGACTTTGATGGTTCCATATCTTGACAGGATTGTATTGTATTGTCTGGCGTATTAACATTAACGTAGTTGTCGGCCGAATGAAGAAGTTCACTGTAACTGGAGACTGATAAATAAAATGTGCAACAAAGTAATTATGAGGTGTATAATTATTATATTATGATCTCTTGAGAATCATAAACCTGACATACGATACTATAAGAATTCTTCTAGCGCACTGTGTACATCGAGATATGATAGCAAGGCAATTCGATATAGAAACTGCATTTTTGAATGGAGATCTTAATTTCGAAGTATTCATGAACATTCCAGATGGATCAGTTGATGAACCAGGGAGAGTGTGTTTTTTGAAGAAGAGTATTTATGGTGTCAAACAATATTCCCGACAATGGAACCAGAAATTAATCTCTGTTTTGAAGAATATCAAATTGAATCAATCAGCGGCAGACCCCTGTATGTTTATATCCAATGATGGATAGCAAATAGTAGCTATTTATGTAGATGATCTATCAGTTCTGGAATCTAATGAAATAAACATCAAGAAAATCGAAAATCTTTTAACCTCTAATTTCGAAGTCACTTCCTTAGGAATACCAAGATATCTTCTTTCATTTCAAACCATGTGGTCAGAAAATCGAGTGGCTTTGACTCAAGAAATGTATATTATGAAAGTCCTTGACAAGTTTGGCATGTCAAATTGTCATTCAAAATCAACTCAATGGATAGTGGAACAAAACCTGAAAAAGCCAATGTTAAAGCGAAGCAAACTGAAAACAATATTCCAGTCGAAAATTCGATCACTGTTATATCTTGCGATGAGTACTAGACCTGATATAAGGTATTCTGTGAATGTTCTGTCGCAATTCAGTTCAGACCCTTCACTCAAACATTCGAACATGGTTCAACACATATTCCGCTACCTAATGCTTGTCATGCACACTGATGAATCTCATGCGAACTCTTTTGATGCGTTGCTGTTTCTACTACCGAAGCAGAATATATGGCATATATGGAATATAAAAAATCATCTTCACTGTCTTTTGCTGTGTGATAATCAAGCAGCTATCCATATTTCATCGAATCGAATTCTGCATTTCAGGAGCAAACATATTGATGTTCATTTCCACTACGTCAGAGAACCAATCATTGAAAAGGATGTGGACATACATTATATTCCAACGAAAGAAAATATAGCAGATTCATTGACGAAGCTAAACTAACTAAACAATTTTTAGATGTTATCACTGAGGGAGAGTGTTGAAGAGCAGTGTTCAACATGAAATCGTATTATTTTATTATGTTTTCATAGTTACACGATATTTATGTTTATATGGGGCAATTGTTTTTGATGATACAAAAATATATAAAATCTCTATTCTATTTATGAATGTTTCCAATTTTCTGAGTAAATCTCAAAACATATAGCCAGGAAAGTAGTTGTTTCCTGTTGAATAAACCGTGAAAAATTGCTATTTTCATCACATGGAGGATGCGAATTCTCAATGTATTTCTTTATATACATATCCATTTCTTTTGTGTTCATGAATATATCTGAGAATGTTCCTTTTCAATACTTTAACCCAATCAAGGGGTTCAAACTTGAACGATGGAAACTTGTTATTTTATTAGACCTCAGCAGACTCGTGATTAGGTTTTTCTCAATTCAGAATTTCTTTCCACGTCCTGTATGATGAATGTCAATTTATCATACATGTAGAAAAATTTTCAAAATAACCTGAAAAAAGAAGGAAATCTAAGTTTTCTACATGCTTAGAATCTACAAGATGATTTCAAATAGCACAGATCAACCCAAAAATGGGTTGAAAAAACAGGATGATTTGTAACGTTTAGATTTAGTCAACAATCAGTTCATGTTAGGAGCTTAAAATTTTGATTATGAACGTCAATAATTAACAGCTTATTTCTATATCACCCTATATAAGCACTCTGGTCATTGGTCACAATTATTCGAACGTTTCTTTCAAACATGTAGGGTTTTTACGATCACTCGGGTCGTTTCTGCAGTTTGTATGTTGGATCATCGTTTTCTATGAGTTGGGTGGCAGTGGTTTCCTTTGGCAGGAGAGGTTGAACCTACGAAAGATATAGGAAACATGTTAGTAGTATAATACCAGAGTATACCAAATAAATACGTGATACTAGATTTCTTCAATATAATAATTATAGTGAATAATTAGGATTATTTTACCTAGTTTTCCCCTTTTGGCTCCAACAGGTTGTATATGTTCATTTACCATAACCTCGATCCCCACCGTAGTTACAGCTGCTCGGTCTTTTGTTTTAATATTTTGGCTAGTTGCAACTTCAGAGCTATGGCCCAACAGCTGATCGCGGCCATATTCTTTTCAGCACTTAGATATGACGGAACGCACAAAACTCTTGACATTATAGCAAACATCACCTGTAGGTGGCGGCGAAGCTAAGGACGGCTCATGATAGAGGAGTAAACCTCGATAAAAAATCCCCAATACTGAGGTTTATGCGCTGAAAGTACCGATGGCAGCTGGGTGATGCTGTTATTAGCAAAAAACCTCGAGCTTTGACGACACTCAAAGAAGATAGCCCGCTCAGTATAAGCGAGCACTGTACTGAGTGTAAGTTTTTATTCGCAAAACGTGGGAACAAGAGGAATGATAAATTAACTAAAAATTATAAAGAAACTTTGGAAATGACTCAAGAATACGAAGAAGGCAACAGCGAATTAGGATCTTTGATTATGTCTAATACAGATAATGATATTCAAGCAAAACCTGGCAATCAGAGGACTGGGAATAATGAATTCAAAAAAGCTAGTGCAAGCAATATAGGCACAGAGGCAGCTAGAGTATCTAGCGGAAGCCTAAAACAATTCTCTGAAGCCAAAGAAACAATTATTAACTTTCTAAGTTCCTCTAAAGGAAGTACGAACAGGAAAAAAGTAGCGACAGAATCACTGGAACAAATGACCAATGCCTTCACTGAGTTAATGACATACATCACCCAGAAGGCCACAGAAAAAAGAGTAACTGAGAAACTAGCTGACTTACATGATAAATTAGACATAAGTAGTGGGAGAATTGACACTATTAAGAAACCAACATACGCAGAAAAAGTAGTCGGCAGTGCAAATTTTAAGTCAGGAAAAATACCTTCAGGAAACGGATAGTACTATACTTATTTATCCTAAGGAAGGATAGCCAATAATGGTATAAAAATAATTGCAGCCGGAGTAAATCTGAATAACGAGGTACTTAACGAAGCTGGTCTAACCAGCAAAACGCCAGCCAAATACAAACCTAGGATGGCAGTCACGGGGGTTCCAAGTGACTGGAACGCTATATGAACGGAAACTAAAATAAACGATGACTTAGAGATCCCATTTGACCACCATTAAGAGGACAAAGCCCTCTTTGAGTTTGGCAGAAGAGATGTCCAATATGCTACTTGGATAATTGAGTGTGATCATGAAATCAGGACAGACATACTCAAAAAAGGTAGATTATATCTGGGATGGGTGGCATGCCAAGTTAGAGATCATGTGAGGATTGTTAGGTGGTATAACTGCCAAAACTATGGGCATCTGGCTAGTAAGTGTAGAAATAAAACAAGTTGTGGTATTTGCTCAAATAAAGAGCATCCTACCAAAGAGTGCAACAATAAAGACGACAAAAAGTGCATAAACTGCAAAATAAATAAGCTGTCAGAGGAAGACTGTACTCATGAGGACAACGATAGAGATTGCCCAACATATAATAAGGGAATTAGAAGTTATATTGGCAATATAGACTATGGAACATAACGCTAGAAGTCTAAAAGTATGCCAAATCAACCTTCAAGGGTCTAGATTAGCTACTTCAGAAATAGCAAAAATAGCGAATGAGAAAAAGTATGACTTCATAGCGTTGCAGGAGCCATACAGTTATAGGCGAAATCCACAACATTATTTTATTCCAGGTTTCAGTCAATTCCTAGTAATTTCAGAGACTAGGATTGAACCTAAGTCTGCCATAATTGTAGTAAATAAAGAATTTGAAGTGGTAAAACTCTCACAAATGATTAATGAACATATAGTAATAACTTCGTTGAAGAATAATCATCAAGCTTATTTGATAGCAAGTATTTATTGCCCACCGGAAGAAGAGGATATATTATTGCATATTTAGCAGAATGTTGCGAACATGAATAATACTAGAGCGAATCGATCACTGATAATTATGGGAGATTTCAATTCGAAGTCAACAGTTTGGAACTCTAGAATAACGAATGAGCGTGGAAGGCCAATAGAAGAAGTTTTAAATATAAATAATTTGTGTATTCACAATAGAGCTGGTCACCGTTCCACATTTTCAACTGCAAATGGTGATTCCAATATAGACATCACTATAAGTTCCTTGGACTTAGCTGGACGGATAAATAACTGGTCAGTACGGGATGGCGAGGTACAAAGTGATCATCGATTAATAGAGTTCCAAATCAATGACTTGCCATATTTAATGCAAGATCAAGACTGCAATGAATACAATGTAAAGGTGCTAAAATTGGACACACTCAGAAGACTTTGTAGAAATCTGGCAGGAAATCTTAATAATCTAGATATCAGTAACATAGCAGAAATCGATAATTATGTGGATATCCTATCAGGAGGTCTAATGGACATAACTAGGAATACAGCTAAAAAAAAAGGAAAGCCAGCTGGAATGGTTCCATGGTGGACTAATAGATTAACCGAACTTAAGAGAATTACAGTGAGAAACAGAAGAATTCATCAAAGAGCTAGAGGGATGATACCACAAAATGAGTACGATAGGCGTCAGAATGAATATATAAGGGCTTTGAGGAATTATAAGAAAGAAATACTGGAATCAAAAACTCGGACTTGGTGCAAATTTGAGGAGGAAGGCCTGTGTAGAAATCCCTGAGGAACTGTTTATGAGCTGGCAGCTGATGAAATAAGGTTAAAAACAGCTAGCTCTACAGTTACAGATGCCACAGGAAACATGACTATAGATCATAAAGATACCATTGGGGCAATAATAAATAAGTTAACGACTTACTCGCAACAGATTAAGAAATTAATATTGAAACAAGAGAAAGCATTGTTTTATTTATTGGAGACCCCTTGGTAGAATTTGAAATTACAGAAGAAGACATACTGAAAGTCCTTTTTGCAATAAAAGCTTATAAGTCTCCTGGTCCTGACGGTATACATGGAAAGATTTTAGCATTAGCGTTTGAGGAAATTAAGGATAATTTGAAGTATCTGTTCAAAAATTGCATTATATTCAAATATTTTCCTATTTCATATAAAAAAGAAAGAGTTGTCACAATTTTGAAATCTCCTGACAAGGAACTTACAGATCCGAAGTCATTGAGGCCAATCATCCTTCTTTCTGAATTGGGTGAAATGCTAGAAAGATCACTAATAAATACAATATGTAGGATACATAACAGAGATGAAATTTTTAGTCAAAATCAACATGGATTTATACCTAGGAGGAACACAATCAATACCATAAATGAGGTGACTGAATTTGTAAGGAGACCAAGTACTCATCAGATGACAATATTCATAGATATTCCAGGAGCGTTTGACAACATGTGGTGGCCAAAAGTCTTGGAATATCTACATAATCAAGGATGGTCGTCAAAAGTCTCGGAATTATCAAAAGTTACCTGACAAATAGAGTAGTGGAATATGGTCTCAAATATACTGGAATAACGAAGAATCTAACAAAAGGATGCCCACAAGGTTCTGCCTTGGGCCCCTTTTTATGGAATATTACTATGGAGCCCTTACTCAGAAGCAATTGGCCCGATAATGTCTCAGTAACTGCTGATGCGGATGACATAGCGATATGCATAAATGCGAATAATACAGCGATTCTAGAAAACAAGGCTAATCAGTGCTTGCATATATTGAACAACTGGGCAAAAAGTCAAAAACTTGAGATTTCTAGAAACAAGAGAAAATACTTAATATTTTCAGGATTATCACATAATAGAAATCGAGCAATTAGGTTAGATGGCCTCCCTATTAGTAGGAGTAGAAGTCATAAATACCTGGGAATGATAATAGATGAAAAACTAAGTTTTGTAGAACATATCGACTATATTATAAATAAATGCCGGAATATATTCCAAACACTAAGAAAGTATATGTATATTAACTGGGGAAAATTGGCAGGATCTCTGAGTATGATATACTCGAGAGCAATAATTCCAATATTAAGTTATGGAGTGAGGTTTTGGATAAATGAGATTAATCAGAAAGGAGTTCAGAATAAATTAAGAAGACTTCAAGCTTTATGCTCGAGAAGCATAACAGGAGCTTATGTAACAAATCGATGAGTTCGAATTGCCTTGCATGTGATACTCCAGATACTCCTTCACATCGACTCGAACTTGTGCGAAAATCTTGAGGAAAGCAGAAGAGAAATAAGGAATATACAATTAGGGATGGACTGGGATGAAGAACCAGCAAAAATAATCAAGAATCTTGGACCTAATTCAGAACTTTTAGCCAAATTCATGATCAACAGACACAGAAGAGATTAATCTACAGAAATAGAACTGAGTATTGTGATAAGTATATGCATAATAATAGTAGGGTTAGAAATATAAAAAAAATTACAGATTAGAGGATGAGTAGTAATGACTTAGTACTATGTGTTAAAATTATAACTTGTTAAGGAATGATGTAGTGTATTTGTTATACTATAAAATTGTATTATGATTTGATGGAATAAAAGTTAAACGTGAGAATAATGGAGGTAGCGAGAATAATAAAGTAGTAATTATCAAGTTGACAGGTAAGCCGAAAGGCAGGCACTCCAACTATTATAAGGTGTTTATTTTCATTTTTGCAAATTACAGTTGAAAGAAATAGATAAAATTCTTAAGCAATAAAGTTCTTAGTTAACTCAGTAGCCTGCTATTTTGAGCAGGGGTGGTGGTGGGAGTTTTTGCTTCCTCCATTTTTTTTTGTAGCGATCTCGGAGCACCTGAGATTTTCATATTCCTGTCGTGATAGGAAATGACATCATCGAACTCAAGATGTCATTCGCCTAACTACGAGCTGATTCGTAATTGGTCGGGAATGTATGCGCAGCCATTGGTGATAAAATGTTGTTTTCCATCTTTCATTATGCCGGAAATAGGATTTTTGGGAGGAGAAGGTTATGCCATTTTCTGGGAAAATGTCGTGTTAGTCGTAGCAAGAGTTGAAGTGTATGTTTTTGAATTTTTGTTCATCCATTATATTGGTAGTTTTCACTTCAGCTCAATTACCAATTTAGCCATATTGGAATCTTCAGAATTGGCAAATTGTGCATCTTTCAAAGGATTTAGTGCTATATCGGCTCACACATCACCTATGGTGGAACCACTCCGGTGAGTCAGTACAAATCATCAAAATGTTATTTAATCTAAGGGTTCTTTTATCATGCGGGGATAGAAGACGGTGGTGTATTTATCCATACTATCTACATATTATTTCATCTACTACCATATCTAGTGCAATTTCATAGCTGCATGAATACCGCGAAGACCTGTGATCTAGTACCCACATCTAGTAAGTACACAATCATTGTTGCATGAACACCTACCTGCTTTGCTTGGATGCAACTTTCTTTTTGCTCTGCTTTTGCTCATAAGGAGGGGACGAACTGGAGGGACGCCGCTGCTGTCTTCAACATCAAGACCACAGATAAGCTGCATGTTTATTATACTCGTTATTTCGGGTTCTTTTCATTTCTAGTTTGAAATTATTATCAACATTAGGAATTTTATCAACCCATCATTGTTGATCGCACTTCTATTGGTCCAATTAGTCTCCCAAGATCATTGTGAACTCTACGTGTACACGACGGGGGGACTAATGCCATTTTGGTTCAGTTTGACAGTGTGGCGAATTATTATTCTCACTTGAATATCTTTATTTTGAATTAATGTAGTAGGCCAGTCATTGGGGATTTTTACCTGGAAAAAAGTCCGGAAGTTTTGAAACTTTGTAGGATTATAGTTTTGGGTGTCCAGAACTAAAATTCACAAAATGCACATTCCGGGACATGCCGCCGGCGCCGCCATCTTGCCAAGATGGCGCTCAAAAACGGTTTTTTGAAAATATCTCCAAAACGGTGCGTTTTTAGAAAAAATATGAAGACATAA